CGGGGAGGCCCCGCGGGGCCCCGGGCAGCCGCGACACCCCCCGGCCCTGCAGGTGCTGACGGTGAAGAAGGAGGTGAACCCGGTGGAGCTGGATTTCCTGCTGCGCTTCCCCTTCAAGGCCGGCGTGGCGTCGCCCGTGGACTTCCTGCAGGCCCAGGGCTGGGGCGGCATCAAGGTGGGTCGCGCCGGGCGGGTTTTCTCGCTGATGGTCCCTTCCCGGTGCCAGAGCATTCCGGGGGCTGCAGGTGGATCCGAGAGCTGCGGTCCCTGCCCGGCACCGCATGCCCTGTCCCCTTGGGACACGTGGCCTGGCTGCCCCGAGCCACCTGCTCTGCCACAGCGGGAGAGCCCGAGTCCCCGGGAGGCCACAGAGCTGGGGGGACAAGGTGCCTCCCCGCTGGCCCCCAAGGTGCTCTCGGAAATGGACGAGTTCAAGAACCTGGACAGCGACATCGAGGGATCGGCAAAGCGCTGGAAGAAGTTCGTGGAGTCGGAGACGCCCGAGAAGGAGGTGTTCCCCAAGGAGTGGAAGAACAAGACGGCGCTGCAGAAGCTGTGCATGCTGCGCTGCATGCGCCCCGACCGCATGACCTACGCCGTGAGGTGCCCGCTGCGGGCAGCGCCGCGGCCGCGCGCGCCGGCTCCTCGCTGACACGCGCAATGTTGGGTTCCCTAGGAACTTCGTGGAGGAGAAGATGGGGAGCAAGTTTGTGGAAGGCAGAAGCGTCGAGTTTGCCAAGTCCTACGAGGAGAGCAGCCCGTCCACAGCCATCTTCTTCATCCTCTCGCCCGGTGTCGACCCGCTGAAGGACGTGGAAGCCCTAGGTAAGCGGATGCGCTTCGGCAGCCGGACAGCGCGGCTCACAGAGGCCTTTTCTGTTGTGGCATTGGTAAAAGCAGGAGCTGCAGGGCCCCATGTTCCAGGTTACTGCAAATAAAAAAGGCATCTTATCCCATGGCTTTTCTCCTCCTCTTCCCAGGCAAAAAGCTGAACTTCACCATTGACAATGGGAAAATCCACAACGTGTCACTGGGACAAGGCCAGGAGACCGTGGCGGAGAACGCGCTGGACGTGGCCTCTGAGCAGGGCCACTGGGTCATTCTGCAGGTACCGGGGACCCGCGCGGCCCCGCGGGCCGGCTGCTCTCCCTTCTGAACAGGAGCACGACGGGCTGGTTTTCCTGTGCCCCCCAAACCACGTAACAAAGCAAGGGCCAGTGGGGGCTGGCAGCAAGAGCAAACTGCACCGCAGTGGCTATTGGAAGCAGGGAGGGACACAACGGGCTGAGGTTAAACTTGGGAGCGGAGGCGACGGGCGCCTTCCCCTTGCAGAACATCCACCTGGTAGCCCGGTGGCTGAGCACGCTGGACAAGAAGGTGGAGCGCTACAGCACGGGCAGCCACGCCGACTACCGCGTGTTCATGAGCGCCGAGCCGGCGCCCAGCGCCGAGACGCACATCATCCCGCAGGGGCTGCTGGAGAACGCCATCAAGATCACCAACGAGCCGCCCACGGGCATGCACGCCAACCTGCACAAGGCGCTGGACCTCTTCACGCAGGTACCGCGGCCCCGGGCGCTGCTGCCGGCTGCTGTGTGAGGAATTTGTTTCTTCTCCCGTATTTCTGTCTCTGATCTGCCAGCAGCTCTGCAGTCTGCGGGGCTGTGATTTGGGGACCCTTAAAAATAGGATTTTATGCATTAATTTTAACAAATGACCTTCGGCCCTTGACCCTTGCCGGTCCCTGCTAGTTTTCTTTGCCAGGCGGCTGCCCAAGGCGATGCTCCCTCTCGCCAAGCCGCCCTCGCTGTCCCCACACAGGACACGCTGGAGATGTGCAGCCGGGAGATCGAGTTCAAGTGCATCCTGTTCGCGCTCTGCTATTTCCACGCCGTGGTGGCCGAACGGCGCAAGTTCGGAGCGCAGGGCTGGAACCGCTCCTACCCCTTCAACAACGGCGACCTGACCATATCCATTAACGTGCTCTACAATTACCTGGAGGCCAACCCCAAGGTAGGGACAGCTACCGAGCAGCCCCCCCAGCTCGCAGCGAGGCTGCCGCTTAACCAGGGGCTCAGAGAGACCTGGACAAGGGCCGGGCAGGAGATATGCAAACACACAGCTAAACATGTGTGCACACAGACACACACATATGTGTGCACGCACACACAGCTATGCAAACACACATCTAAACGTGTACAGACACACATATGTGTGCACGCACACACGGATATGCAAACACACAGCTAAACGTGTGCACACAGACACACATATGTGTGCACACACACACAGACATGCACACAGCTAAACGTGTGCATACACACATATACACGTGTGCACGCACACACAGATATGCAAGCACACATGTAAACGTGTACAGACACACATATGTGTGCACGCACACACAGATATGCAAACACACCTAAACATGCATACACACATGTGCACGCACACACAGATATGCAAACACACAGCTAAACATGGGTGCACACATGTGTGCACGCACACGCAGATATGCAAACACACATCTAAACATGTGCACACACACACAGATACACGTGTGCACGCACACACAGATATGCAAACACACAGCTAAACATGTGTGCATACACACATACACACGCGCACAGATATGCAAACACACAGCTGAACATGTGTGCACGCACACACAGATACACATATGTGTGCATGCACACACAGATATGCAAACACACAGCTAAACACATGTGCACACACACATAAGTGTGCACACAGACACACATATGTGGCCATGCACAGATATACATGCATGTAGACACACACAGCTATACATGTGTGCACACACTGATATACATGTGCACACACATGCAAACACACAGCTATACACATGTGTGCACATACACATATACATGTGTGCACACACAGTTATACATATGTTCACACACACCAATATATGTACACACACAACCCCCAATATACATACGTGTGCGCACACACATACACCCTGATATACATACACACACTATAGATACATGCGTGTACACACACCCGACACCTCGGAGCCCCCTCAGCCGGGCTCTCCTGCCAGGTCCCCTGGGACGATCTCCGCTACCTCTTCGGGGAGATCATGTACGTCCCCACCCCGGCCGACTGGGACCGCCGCTTGTGCCGGACCTACCTGAGCGAGTACATCCGCGCGGAGATGCTGGAGGGAGAGACCTACCTGGCGCCAGGGTTTCTGATCCCGCCCAACCTGGATTACAAGGTAAGAGCGGCCGCGCTCTGCTCAGGAGGAGGTGACGAGCACTGCGAGTCGGGGGGAAAAGCCTCTGATCCGGGGTGGCAAAAGCTGGAGAGGCTCCCCTTGCACAAACCGAGGACATGGAGAAAGCGGGACCTTTCCAGGCCAGGGGCAATGTACTCACTGTGCAAGGCTGCCCTGGACTGTACTCAATGTATAAGATCCCCACTGGAGAATAACTCCGGTGGCTGGATGGTATGGAAAAAAATGGGATGAGACATAAGGAAAAGTCCTGCGAACAGGCTGAGCCTACTGTGCAGCACGTGGTACATGCAGGTATGTGCAAGGCAGCAGCAGCTGCCCCGTGTCAGCACCGCTGTCCGGCCTGTGCTTTAGGGCTACCACGAATCCATCGACGAGAACCTGCCCCCAGAGAGCCCCTACCTGTACGGCCTTCACCCCAACGCAGA